CAATTTATACATATTTTATGCCAAATTTACGCGAAAAAATATGTCTAATATTCGCACATACTTTGTGCTTTTTTTCTATATATTACGTGCACTTCTTATGCATATAAATTGTGCCTACATATACACATGTATGGCTTATTGGGTACTCTACATAAAACCAACAAATTCGACTGACTGTTTGTATAAACATTCGTCACATTAAATTCGTTCTAAACCCGGTATTACGACTGACATTTTTAGTCCGAATTCTATGACAACGCCATCTCTTGTTTCTCATCTGTATAAAGTATATATGGCATTACAGCGGTTCTATCCAGAGGTGCGCACTGGGGGGGGATTCAGGGTTTTACCCCCCACCTAGCTTGGTCACGTCCGGATTTCCGGGTCTAACTTTACCCCCCTCAAAATTCTATCACGTCCGGATTTCCCTCCCCCAATGATTCAAGTACATTTTCTAAATACACATTTTTGTGTATATTCATTACAAAATTGCTTTGTTTTTTTCATTTTCTGGCTAGTTTTGTAAAAAACTATCATTTTTTGAGATAATCGAAAGTACGTCATATTATTGAAACTGATTCATTATCATTTTCGTTCTCAGTCAAATCGAAAGTCAATCTTAATACAAGCGGTTTCAGTTTTCGGAAGAAAATCCGGATTGACCCCCCCCCAAGAATTGTTTATTTTCTTGACCCCCCCTTCCAAAAATCCGAAATTTGACAGCTATCCCCCCCCCAAAAAAAAAAATGCGTGCGCACCTCTGGTTCTATCAGTTCAATGTTGGGCCGAATAATAGCTGTCATTTTCTTGTTTACATTTTGCAAATTTGAAATTTGTCGTACCTGTTTTGTATAACATGCTCTTTTTTAAGAAGAATTAAAATGAATATTTGCATATACATCCAAAATGTATATTTCTGTGCATTTCATCACAAATATTTAAAATATTTGTATATTTCTAAATAAATATTGTAGTAAATTAAGTGAAATTTTCACCAAAGAAACAGCTATATACATGTAACCAAAGATGGCGTTCGCGATTAAGAATCCACTGACGTTTTCATATAAATATGCCAACGCAATTCCCGGTTATTCGTTCTTTATTATTACTTGTCATATACATCTTGATAGAAATCTTTCAATTGATAATTAATATGCATCTCAAAAGAAATGAAGAATATAACAACAAAAACCCAATTTCTCAATAAATTTATTGCTGAGCTTTATTGCTGAGCATAGCCCAATTGACGATAAACAATCGGTTGATGTGGACCATGTGCACCTTTCAACTTGCAAATTGTCGTGTGAATATCGATGCAAACTCTCTGTATACAATCTTTTGCTGCTTCCGAAATATCTCTGAAATAATTAACATTTGATTTAAAAAAATCGAATAAAGCCAAAGGATTATATCATACACACTGATACACACAAAAATATATACAATGAAAACTAGATGACATGCCATCTAAAATTCGGAACTAGTTGCAGTTCTCCTTCGTTTATGTCTTGAAGAAAATCCGCACAAAAGAGAATAAACAAAAACGATATTTTGTGTGAAAATAATTAGAGGGACAAATACAAATTTAGATGGATTGTCAACTAGTTCCGAATTTTAGATGGCATTTCATCTAGTTTTCATTTTTCTGTGTGTACTTATTTCTGTAGAATCCATTTATCGTATCTGCAAATTTTTCAAGTTCCTCTACAATAAGTCTAAAATACATAATGTATAAGTATATTGAATTTAATTGTACTGGGAAAATCATTAATTTACTCAGGAAGAAGGACTTGGACGAAATTATTGTTGAATTCATCAATCATTTCATTTACTTTTCCAAGAATGGGGTTTAAGAATGAAAAACTGTTAAGAAATTTAATCAATAGATTATTAAAAAGTAATATTTTTTTGCTGAAAAAATATAATTACCCGGTTTGAGAATAGTTCGGTGGCGATTTAGCAACTTTTTTGAAAAAACTTGAATAGTGTTCGATTTGTTCCCCACAGCATCTGTAAGTAATGATCGCGAAAAATCAATTTAATATCATGAATCAATTTAAACCATCATACACACTTTTTCATCCATGTAGCGCCTTTATATTCGTCCGCAGCTTGTCGAAGATTTTCAATGTTCAAATCCGCTGTGATCTCATCAATCTTTCCACTCAAGGTGGACGTTGGCAAAAAGCTTAGAGAAAGTGATATTGACGTCTTACCTAAAAATTAAAAAAAAATATGTTTCTTTGAACATTGCCAATTTAACTATGTTAGAAAATGAGATCTTACTTGAGCTTGCACGTTTACTATTGCCAGACGATTCTGAGGTACGCTGTAAAAAGAATGTTTTTATTTGTAAATTTCGGATTCAAATTAAATTAATCAATGAAAATGTCCAAAACATTTATAAATCTTGTTAAATTTTAACCATATTTAAGTTATTATCGAGAAAATCGTTTCCCTTACCAGAGCCAAAGAAACAATTGCGAATATAATGAATAACTTCATTTTAGTTCAAAGTAGTTTTACTGATCTTCCGAACTTTATTTGATAGATTAAGGTCGATGTATCTCAATTTATACTGTTTTACACTCTGGTTAAAAGTACGTGTAAAGAACGTTTTATTCCAAATATTCCAATTTGAGTAGAAAAATACGTTGATACGTGGATGAAAACAGTTGGTGAAATTCCATGGCAACCGATTTTTAAAAATTATATCATACACCAGAAAGTTAGTTCATAACTAACCGAATTTGAGAACAACGTATTATTGCAAATATTTCAGGCTGTGTGTTTTGTATGATTTCAGCAGGCACTGCTATTTCGTATTTCTATTACGATGCTATTGCGATATTGTGTATTACGCAGTATTCATGCATGTGTATTGATGGTTTACGGAATCGCTATTGCCGCGTAACGAACACACACTGCTTACAGCAGGCACCGATCTCAATGCGGTATGCAATGCGTCAAATATCTTGAACTTAGGCACAGCAAAGCTATTGTGCTAGAAATAGCAGTGCCTGCTGAAATCATACAAAACTTACAGCCTGAAAAATTTCAATTTGAATAACATAAGTTTAAAACACTGTTTATTGGGGTAAGGGGGTAAACTGATACACCTCGAAAATTTAAAAAACTGCAACGCAAAATCCGTATTCAATCGGCACACACTTGGCAAAGACACACTCAATATGTCAGACCAACGAGAGTCGTCGTTACCATTTTTTCACACTTTAGAATCTCGATTTTTTTAAATTTCTTCACATATGCCGGAATTGAGGTGAATATGATTTGTTTCTATTAAAGCCTACTTTCATTTAATAATAAGTGTTTTGGATTTTATCCACGCATTTGAAAAGATTTGATCGAAAGTGGAAATTATGCTTGGGAGCAAAGTGATTCACTTTGTTGGGGGTAAAGTGATACAGCGATTATTTCGTATATTTCATTGGATTTTTCGTATTTTATGTATTGCTTAATGTGAAACGTAGTTTTATACATTAAGCTATGGAATAGTAAGATGTTTGTTCAGTGATTTTAGAGAAAACCAGAAAAGATAGAGAGTTCGGGTTTTCGGCATTCGATAGGGCATGAAAAACCCTCCAGACGTATTTTTTATTTTCCCCATAAGTGCTCCCCATTTAATTTTTTCATTCATGGACCCAATTTTTTGGATTCCACTTTGAAAAATATTTCGATTCCACTCACCATTTATTGAGTGGAATCGAAATATTTTTCAAAGTGGAATCCAAAAAAGAGGGTCCATGAATGAAAAATATTTCGATTCCACTCACCATTTATTGAGTGGATAACGAATGGATTCGGGTGGATTGACGTTTATCCGTAACTTCATTGGTTGGATAAAAGATGGAATAAATGAGTTTTACTTCAGTGTTAATTTGATTACTTTGGATCTAGATGAAACTTGTTGAAAAAAAGTTGGAGACACCCGAGGTACCAAATTGTTTTAGATTCCTTATAAAATTACCTTTCGAATGGTATATAAATTATGGAGTTTCCGGCAGGTTTGATGGCGTTTTACGCTGGCCGTTTGGCCGAAATGTGAAAAATTATGAGAAAAATCGGCTTCCGAATCTCATTGCAAGCAACCTAGTTCTATGATTTTGATGAAACTTTACCAGATGATAGCTCTTGAAGCCCTCTTTCCAACGGTATATAGCTTATTAGCCAATCAAACTTGTGAATGTGTTTCCCAGGTGGCCGTTTGAGGAATGAAAAATTCAAAATATGAATGTCGAGTAGTTTGTTTTTCTTAGTAGTACGGTTCCACGTTTCACATTAAGCTCTACGGCCAAAAACTGGCAGTGTATTATTGATTAGTGTGATATTATTGGTGGGCAACAGTATCGCTAAATCTGTCAAAAAAATCATAACGACATCATCGAAATCTAACGGCTCTAGCGAACTAACGCACTAATAAACAGGACCACACTGACTCCGATTCTGCATATTCGTATGTATTGTGAATTCTGCACTCAGTTGACCGTCGTAACTGCTTGTTCAATTTTTACAATACATACATACAATCATACACACAGAATTGGAGTCAGTATACTCCTGTGCGTTAGTTCGCTAGA